GAAATAATTAATTATAATTATTATTAGTTATCTTTCGCGGAGGCTGCACCCAAAATGGCGCTGTATCTGAAATTGTGTTCCATTTTATAAAGTGATTCGCACAGAAAGGACGTGTCGGTCTTCTTTACAAAATATTTTCCACGCAGATCCACTAAGCTGTTGACTGCACCTGCAAAATTGCAAGTTCCTGTCTCGAGGTCATCCCACGCCCGAATTTGCGTTGTATCTGCAACCAGCGCTTCGTTCGGCCACTGTAGTAGTTAGGCGACAGTGTCGAGCTCTGGCGGAGAAAATCCAGGTGCTTCTCGATGTTTCCATCAGCCATCTTGTTGTTTCGCGAACGTTCCCTTGTGCGGTGTTTGGTTTGAGTGCTCGGCGCAGTGGAAATGGACTCCGTAACTTCAGTTCTTCCAAAGGTTAGCTGTCGTTTGCATTTTTGCTAATAGATTAGTTTTTATATTTTGTGCGTTTCAAAATGTGTTTAAACCAAGTTGATGAACAAGTTTGAACACGTTTTCTATTCGAAACTTCGTAATCTACCTGGGATTTCTAATGGCGTCGAAACATCTTCAGGCCCGGACGTATTTGTCGAGATAACACCCCTCTTTAATAATTTTTATATGTAGGAAAACAAGGCTTTGATTGAAAAACCACGCGTGTGAAAAGTTAATTCACAAAACTGCTTTGACAAAGCGTGTTTCACAGTTACATGTGTGTCCTTATTATTGATTTTAGAGGTACCTTCAAGTTTCCTAGTTAGCAAACGTTACCACTGCGAAGTTTGGAGTTGGTTTGCAATCTGAAATTTTTACGTGGTTACCTGACGTCACGTCGCGTGGGTGTAGGTTAGAACTCTGCAATGTCTGATAATGTTCCTGTGCTCATAATGGAACCGAGAAGGCGGAAAAGTTCATATAATATTTAAAGGATTCAAACTGAGTGAACGTTTGTCAGACAGAAGTTGCCAGGGCAACCATTTTTACGTGTTCTGATATCCATGCATGTTTTATTTTGAAAGTTTTCTTTTACTTACGGCAATTAAAATGGATGATACGTATTTACTTTATTCTCATGGTCATGATATCCACCGTTTAAGGAACCTGAAGTTAGATTACCATGTTAACAGCCGCCTGTCTTCGTGACAAAATTTTATCCTTCAAGCAACCTTTAGCCAACATGCAACGAAGTTTCCTTAGGCGATAAGTGTTAATGGTCTACGTGATCAGCCCTGATGATGGTGGCTCAGATAGTCTCCGAAAGCTTGGATCTTAACTCGATTCTGCTGATCGCCCGGGAACAATTCATTTCATTCTGTCCTCTTACGAAAACGTAAAGATGACTTCCACCGGTCACTTCAAATAATACCGGAGTGATTCTCCTACTAGTCTGTAATGAATCTTTACGTACTTTTTCGGTTTTATTATGTAGTACCGAGTGGTTGGTACTCCTGCTTCGTATTATGTAGGTCAGGAGTGTCAAAATGTGGTCATAACAGTTCATTACTCACTGTAATTCGACGCTATATAGTCTGAGCTTATGATAAGACGTCTTTAAATAAAGTATAAATACGAGTAATTAAAACACGTTTCTTATGTCCGAAGTGGCTTTTAAATTTCATCTTCCTAATTGAATAAAAATTTCCTTGGATATTATCCATCGTCTAGTGAATATAAAACGTAAAACGATAGAGTCCCATCTCCGAAACGTCGTTTTTTACGTTTTATATTTTATATTTTACTAGACGATGGATAATATCCAAGAAAATTTTTATTCAATTGACTCAAGAAGTTTTAGATTTGATATTCATCTTCCTAACTTTCAAATCAGTAAAGATTAAATAAATATTCATTGTCTACGCTGAAGTACGTTGGGTACTGATCAATTTCAGTCACGTGAATGTCGATTAAATAACATTTTTTTTCGTGGTGATTTCCAGCTTTAAGTTTTCTGTAAGTACATCGAAAATTAATAACTTGTCGTCTCGAATTCCACGAGAATGGCTCTCGGCCGAACGACCAGAGCCCTGTCAAAGCTCAAACGCTATTGGTCGGTTGGTCACGTGCACTGCTGCTTCAACTCGACCGAACTTTCCCACGCTGTGGGGCGAACAATTGGGCTATTTCACGACGTCTGACATTTCTAAGTAACATTATTATTACACAGATTCACTGCACCAGTCAATCAGTTCGAAATAGTATTAATCTTATTTTTAACATAGTTAATAACAATTATTTTTATAGTTTTAATGTGATAACTTGTTTAATTGTTTTATAATGACAGTCTGATAACAAACGCTTAACGTCATAAAATATGGAGAGTTATAGAAAACTTAAAACAATTGCTACATTGCATAAGTAACTATTGATATGAAAATACTGATCAGAATTAATTAATGCCTTAATGCTAATAAGTAGGCCTTATATAATGACGACCTTAATAAACTGTAGATTTGGTCCATTTGAGTGAACACATTTGAAGCTGTAATAAAAGTTTAGTGATACAACGTGGTCTTGGCTACCCTGGGGATGGAGGTAGCAGTGTTAGTAACTGCCCAGACATCTTCACAGTATCGAACCCAGAAGTTTAGAATCCTAATAACACAGATGTATTTCTTTTGTGTGATGTTCAGTCAAAAATGGTTTCGTACTAGTTATTAGGCAAGCTTAGGTTAAATGGGGCAGTCACACACGACGCGTGCTAATGGTACCACCTCACGCATGAAAACACCAACTAGGCCCAGAGCCATTTCAATCAAAATTTGGTGTTAACGTTCAAAACTCGCTGTGTATTTCTCAGGCGTCCAAATTAACCAACGTGTGCGTAGTTCTCCCATCCATATGCATGCATTTCTTGTTTCATGCCTTAAAAGTATTTCGTAGGTAGCCATTTCAAAATCTCGATCTCCTGAGAAACTTTGTAGTCGTTCCTGGGGAACGCTTTGAAGTAGACAGTATTAATCTCCGACGATTTAAAAGCATTCGACGATATTATTACGTTACAGTTACGTTACATTATCTTTTGTATACGATTAACATCAAACTCCTCACGTAGAATTCTGATGCCTTGAGATTTCTTTAGTCTTTATTCATGTCTTCGCTTTAAAACTGGTATTCTCCGGTTGCTTGTAGTTGCAAATATTATGGTGGGATAATAACTCTGTTTCGTACGCAAAACGAGAATCAAATTACGGCCTGTAGATTCATTTTATTCGTCAGGTGGCTGTTCACATTAGTAGCTACGGAGTGAGTCCCACGACGGGGTCATTGAGCTGAACACCTGGTCTGTTCTCCTTTCATTTATTATTCATCAACTGCAAAGGTTGGCTAGTTACTTGGTTAGTCATTTCAATTCGTTCGTAGACCGGGGGTCTTCTTAAGACAGATTGCGGCGAGATAGTGTGGTGTTTCTCGTACATCTTAATCGTTTACGTCACAGAGGGGCAGAGTCCCAGCTCACAAGTTTGATAATTCGTCTTGTTGGCAGTACCGATTATGGTAAATTAGAAGTTGCTCGTTTGCAGTAGCTTTCGATAGCGTAATATTTGTTTATCAGTTCCCGATCATAGATGGCAGCACGATTTATTCGTCTGAAAAATTCGACGGACGGACATGTTCTGTTGTCTCCCCATATCAGACTCTACCTGGTGATCTGATATCACGATACTAAATTCCTCGACGTTCGTACATTTTTATTATCCATTTGCAAACACAGGCCATTTGTTACGACACGTACGGATTGTAGTTTATAAAATAAGAATTATTCCACTGTAGGATCATTTGCAAGCCCCCAGGAGATGCCGTGCCGTTACAATTATACCCGAATCCGTGCCGTGCCGTTGAGTCCAAGTCCTCCCCCCGATCTGCACGACGTCGTCTCGCGGCGCCAGTCGTGTTGGGACGCTCTTGCGGTAGAGGTGTTTCCGCGCGGGTCGTCGTCGCTTAAGCAGCGTCTCAGTGCGACGAAAATATTCTCATCACTTGACATATCCGTTTGCGTTTTGTCGCGGCGATATCGTGGTGTGACTGTGTTCTGTTCTTCGCCGCGAAGAGGAATGAAGTTGAACTTTTGTGTTGTATGGATCGTCGACAGTGTTGGACCGAGCTGGAATAAGACGAGAAGTTATTCACTTGAAACGGTAATTAAACAGGAATTATTTTATATCGCATTTATCTGGGGATTTCTGGTGCTGTAGTTGGCACGACTGAGTGCCGTGTTATGAATATCCTCATGGAGTCTAAGCGCAGGGGGATACATGATACCGTCGTAAAATAAATTGTGTACACCATGCATATTTTTTAATATACATCGAGGACCGGATTTAATTATGTATCTTCCGGTTTCGTGTAATATGAAACTTTTCGACCTGATATATGTGATATACAGTCTTTGCCACTACAGTGCAGCTGTCGCTAGAGTGAAATTTGTTAAAAGTGTTGAGATCTCCCAGATGTCGGGATCTCCCTAAATTACTATAAACTCACATAAAAATCATAATGAGAACTTTCTGTGGTGTAACTTTAGTTCTACGAGTGCAAGATGCTGGTTCTAAATATCTTTCTGGTGCATTCAGCTTAAGCGGGAGTGCTAACCACTCGACCATAATATTCTGCATGTGTTAAGTAAGCATTATACCATAAAACATGTTCAGCAAATTCAAACAACGTTGCTTCATCATAATCCAGGTTTTGCAAAGTCAAAATTCATGTCAGTGACTCAGAGGATTGCATAAAGCCCACAAGATGGGAGTACGCCTTTCAAACTGCTCATAAATTGTAAACTTTAATCAATTACTGCAAGTAATAACATATTTTTGTTACGACACGTACGGATTGTAGTTTATAAAATAAGAATTATTCCACTGTAGGATCATTTGCAAGCCCCCAGGAGATGCCGTGCCGTTACAATTATACCCGAATCCGTGCCGTGCCGTTGAGTCCAAGTCCTCCCCCCGATCTGCACGACGTCGTCTCGCGGCGCCAGTCGTGTTGGGACGCTCTTGCGGTAGAGGTGTTTCCGCGCGGGTCGTCGTCGCTTAAGCAGCGTCTCAGTGCGACGAAAATATTCTCATCACTTGACATATCCGTTTGCGTTTTGTCGCGGCGATATCGTGGTGTGACTGTGTTCTGTTCTTCGCCGCGAAGAGGAATGAAGTTGGACTTTTGTGTTGTATGGATCGTCGACAGTGTTGGACCGAGCTGGAATAAGACGAGAAGTTATTCACTTCGAACGGTAATTAAACAGGAATTATTTTATATCGCATTTATCTGGGGATTTCTGGTGCTGTAGTTGGCACGACTGAGTGCCGTGTTATGAATATCCTCATGGAGTCTAAGCGCAGGGGGATACATGATACCGTCGTAAAATAAATTGTGTACACCATGCATATTTTTTAATATACATCGAGGACCGGATTTAATTATGTATCTTCCGGTTTCGTGTAATATGAAACTTTTCGACCTGATATATGTGATAGGTCAGATCCACGCTGTATAATTAACAAAAGACTGTTTAGCCCCTTGAAACCAAAGACTATCTAAGTAATATTTAGTAATTCAGTCTGTATCTAAAAAAAAAATTCTCCATTACTTACGTATATCAATTGGTTAACGTTGTACAGGGAAATAATTTATGTTTGTAGTGGCAACCAAATTTAAAGCGTAATTATGAAATGCAGACAAACGGGTTGTTATCGCAGGTGGAAGACTTATTTAAACTGTTAATTATCTGAATGGAGAAGCTGATAGTTACTCGACTGGTCAGAACAAAATACCAACTTTTTATGGACTTCGAAGTGTCATTCCTGGGATCACAAATATTTTTGTAATGAGATTAATTGAAATGGTAACTAATTATAATATAAAATGGGGCTCGCTTGAATATTGGAAGATATAAAATAGTATTTTGTGATTTTTCTCCTCTACTCGTATTGTCCAATGAAAACTGTTAATTTTATGTATTTCATGTAAGTTCTGTCGAACATAACCTCATTCTCCGTTCGCGCAAAGATAATTTCTGGTTGAAAGCAGGGAGAATTTTTGCTATGTGGACATAAGAACAAGTGGTATGTTTCTATGTTCCTTACAGACCGTTGTTTAAGTTGTTTTTATAAAATTTAAAGTTCAAGGTCACGTGAAACCGTAAGCATTATGCATGTAGATTCTCAGTTTAATGAACTATTCGTGACGTATCACCAAATATTATGAATAAAATAAGTAATGATTTCCTACGTCTCCCTTTTGTCATTACTATGTTAATTACGTTTAAAATCTGTTATAATTAATTATTTATACGCTATTTTCTTTTATTTTGTTCGCGTCTGTCTTGACTCTTAATTGTTATCATTAAAACTCTGCAATTAATTAATGCTTAACGTGCATTAAAATTAATCGCCCAGCTGTCTAACTACAGTATTATGGACAAGCGTAGGGAGGCAATGGTGGTGAAGCTCCACTCATTCGAAATTTCGGAATCTGTTGGCGGTGATTTGTTACCTTCAAGCTTCAGCCATTTTACTCACAGACAAATAATTCTGTCGATTTTAGGGCCGATAGAAAATGTTTTTCCTGCCTGGAATTTAACCTCGATCAGTTTAATGACTTCACCATTTTATTCTCGTAAATATTATCAAATTATTATCAATGTGTTGCTGTAAGTATTGTGAATAACCAATCACAGACTCCCAAGAAGGGCTTTTCTTAATTTTAACATCATGCGTTTGTGGAATTAAATGTTTAGAGACTGGTAATTTGACGTAACACACAGAATAAATCTTAACAGTAGTAACGTAAAATGGAGACATTTCACGGCATATTTTTTTAAATCTTGCAGATGTTTCAAAAAAAGCGTGAGGGAGATTTTAAATGTTTCGACCGGCCCAGCCCTAATTTTATTAATTTTATTGGACACGGAAACACAATTTTAATATTATCATTATGATTTTCTGTGACTTGCTAATGAGAAGTGTGAGGATATTTGAGTCACTGTGATAAGTCTCGTTTGTCGTTTTTATTTTATTTCATTTTAATGATGGTAGAATAAGTACAATATATTTAAATTATGTAATAGGTTCAGAGGTTACGAATTTCTCCGCCTCTGACAGGAATGTCGCTCCTAGCGCTGTCACAGGTCTATTTTCATTTTTTTTTTGAATTCTACACGACACGCAAGTTTCCTGCTTGCCTGTACTATCAACATTTTTACTAGAATACAATAAATATTTTAAATTTATGTCGATCTGTCAGTGGCAGTTCGTGAACAGATTATGACATCCCGAGGGCTGTTCGAGTTTCGAGTTTCTCGCTGTTGTAAAGATGTCGATTCCAATTTAAATGTGGGGTAATGCGGTGGTTAGAGACAAAGGGGCTTTGTCACCAACGGCCATGTTTTATAAGAAATCACGAACAGCCGACCAGGGGCGATACCACAGCTTCAGGGACAAAAACTGTTCACCATAAAATATTTGCATGTTATGAATTGTTACACTTTAACTTATATTGTTTATTTATTTATTTATTTATTTTTATGTAAGGGTCTGAGGAGCGTAATGGTAGATATGTATATATAGGCCAACATAACGTAAGTCAGAGAACCTGAAGGGAAAATACCTCTTGGCATATCCAAGAGCAGATGGGAGGATAATATTAAAGTGATTCGTATGTAAGTCGTTTGTGTGTGAACTGGGCTCTTCTGGTGCAGAAATGGAGCCTGTATCGGGTTTCATAAAAGACGCAGAATTTCATGATTATGTCAGCGACTAGTAGCTTCTCAAGAGGGACTATTCTCTAATGAGTTAGTATGGATTATCGGATAGTGTCCTCATCTTCTGACGTTGATTCAGTGCTTTTAGTGAACACGTAATGAGGAGATGGAATTTGCAGTTAGTTGTGAGCTTCGTACATAAAGCGTGTCCCATGAGGTCTTGGCCGTAGGGGAAGTCGGTCATTTGGCTAAATGAATGACTAGAAAAGAATGATGTGTTCCCAGGGCTGGGGCACAAAGGTACCTGAGGAAAACTACGACGACCAGCGAACTTTCACGACGAGACAAGGCAGCCTTAACTTTTAGCGGTGATGATGTGTAGTGTCGTAACGGACCGTCCTCGGTACCATATAAAATTACCTGAGTCACTAAACACGTGATTAATAACAGTTTTAACTTTTTATATTTCTTTTGTGTTTTGAAAAAGATCAGGGTTCTCCCGTGGCTTTGGACTTATGGGACACTCCGTATATATGATGCACGGTTAAACGTGAATCTTATTGATTAAGCCCAAGTTACTGAGTATTATATAAACAATGACTGAATTTACAATATAGACCTGTTGAAAAATTTTCGTGGTGGGACCTGACATCATATGCCATAGGCCATAGGAGTGAAGCCACGTAAGTTTTACGAAGGCCGTGGAATTAAGAAACTCCAACCTCGGTTTGAAATCGGAGTTGGCAGGTCCACAATCACTCCGAAAGAAATACGTAGGATGGTATAGAAGTTGATGTAAATGAAGGGAATGAATTGAATGTTTATAACGCTGATAGTTTAGGATCATTTATCTGTCTGTCTGTCTGTGTACAGTTTTTGTTACGAGGTAATTGGCCGATTTATGGATAATAACGCTAGATGGCAGAGTGATCTGTGTTACTAGTTTTGGTAAAGTTGAGCTGCTTTAGACGTGGTTCTAAAGGAGATGCTCAGTCAAAGAAATTGAGACGAACGAAGGTACAGAAGTCTATTCCTTATTGTAATTGGAGTTTTCCTTCTATGAAGTATTTGTTAGGGTACAGTTTATTTATTTGTGTAACTGTTTAAATGTAACTCTTTAAATGTTGAGGCTGTTAAGATAATTTCGAGGTTATGATTTGTACGGTTATAAATCAGTGTTCTTCATTTGGATAATCAGTTCTGATGATCCACGATGATTTTTGTAGCGGGTAGAAATATATTATTACCTGGATTTCTAAGGATTTTTCTCGTGAGGTAATAAGGTGAATTTTTCTCGTTAATCCACGACAGTGGATCAAAGAGGAATAAAAATTCGTCAGTATGAATCCATGTCAACAATATAGCTCCGTTCTCACTCGTGAGTCAGCATCGTTTGTTATTGTTTTGATATTTCTGCTTTGTTATGGAAACAATTTTAAGGTCTACGCTCGTCTGTGCTATTTCAAGGTTTTAGCTTACACGCTAACCCCAGGGGAGACGCTGCACCACGAGAATTTTGAGAGTAGTTGAAGTGGGGATCTTCAATTATTTATATTTTTTGTAAAGTTTGAGATAACCCGAGCACGTATCAGTTGTTTTTGAAAGAAGAAGTTTCGGTCGAAGCGGTGTCAAGCCTGAGTTAACCGCTATTTGATGCGTAATGTTTACAAGATAAATATGCCGTCTCCCTAATGGATTTAGTTTCTTGCATGAACCCACGGTTCTATGCGTCTGTGCTCTGCTCGCTGTGTTTTATTCCGGTCTGGTCCATTACTTTAGTGTTTAAATGTTTGTATAACTGCGAATAACGAAATTTCGCTTCACGCTTTACTAATCTAACTAAATAACTGGCTTAGGGAACCCGAAGGTTCATCTCCGAATTAACCAAAGCCCTCCACTGGGCCAACAAAATCCAGTCTCCTTCGACTCCTATCTCCCACAGATCCCGCCTGACATTATCCTCCCATCTACGTCTAGGTCTCCCCAGCGGTCTCTTCCCCTCAGGCTGCCTCCCGCCTGAGATTATCCTCCCATCTGCGTCTAGGTCTCCCCAGCGGTCTCTTCCCCTCAGGCTGCCTCCCGCCTGAGATTATCCTCCCATCTGCGTCTAGGTCTCCCCAGCGGTCTCTTCCCCTCAGGCTGCCTCCCGCCTGAGATTATCCTCCCATCTGCGTCTAGGTCTCCCCAGCGGTCTCTTCCCCTCAGGCTGCCTCCCGCCTGAGATTATCCTCCCATCTGCGTCTAGGTCTCCCCAGCGGTCTCTTCCCCTCAGGCTGCCTCCCGCCTGAGATTATCCTCCCATCTGCGTCTAGGTCTCCCCAGCGGTCTCTTCCCCTCAGGCTGCCTCCCGCCTGAGATTATCCTCCCATCTGCGTCTAGGTCTCCCCAGCGGTCTCTTCCCCTCAGGCTGCCTCCCGCCTGAGATTATCCTCCCATCTACGTCTAGGTCTCCCCAGCGTGTATTTTCAACATGGCTTCTCTAACACCTGAGATTTATCTAACCGATTATCGGTTAAATATTTCATGTAACC